GGGGGGTTAACAGCATCAGGTGGGCACCAAGGACACTGGGAAGGATTTGGGGAACTAGAGGCACTGCCTGACACTCACAGCCCCTCTCCCTGCAGGTTCTGCCTCCATCCCGGGCTGTCCGAGGACCTGGTGGGCACACACCCGCCCGGGGCGCACAGCCTGGTCGCCGTGTCCGTAGGTGAGGTGGGGGAGTGTGGGCTGCCCCCTGTTCAGCTTCTCTGGGGGTCCCCAGGCACTCGTCGGTGCCTGATACCAGCCCCTCGGGCCATGTCGTGGGCAGCGATGTCTCAGGCACCCCGGACAATCGCCCCATTCTTGGCAAAGGACAGTGGCTCCTTTCTGTCCCACGGCACCCGCAGCCAGGAGGTACTGGGCACCAGGCTGCCTGCCACCATCCTCATGTGGCAGCCAGGGCATGGGGCATCCAAAAAGTGCAGATCTCCCCCCAAAGCCTTGAGTTAAACCTGCCAGTGTGGAGGCCAGGAGCTTTGAGCCCTCTGGCTGTGTGAAGCCTTTCCTCCCCGCTTCCCTTGTCACCTTCTTGCAGATCTGTCACCGGTCCTGTGGTCTGTCCTAACAGGCTTCCCGGCATGGCTATGGCTCAGCAAGGAGGTTTGAGTATCTAAAATATCGATGTGGGGTTGGTTTGGTGGCAGCAAATCCTGCAGCTGTTAAGGGCTCCAGGCTGAAAGAACTTGGGGTGGGATCTGATCCTGGGATGGTAACATGGGTGAGGGTCTGGGTACTGCCTTTGCTCTCACCCTTCTCCGGGAGCAAATCCAAGTGATCGGTGAGTTAGTGTCTCTCCCTCGGAGCACATGTTACAGAGCGATCACAGGAGGGACCCAAAACACACCAATTTCCTTCTCCTGCTTTGTGTGATCCTGCTCTGTGCGTGACTCACCACCATCCAGGGCTTGGGCTGAGCTGTGCCCATCACTTCCCCGGAGGGGCTGCCCAGCCCAGTCGGGTGCAGAGCCTGCTGTGGTGGGGGATGGTCCCTTGGCACAGCCCTTCCTGGCTCCATCTTCGCTCACAGCCGCTTTGTTCCCAGGTTATTTCCTTGAAGACTTTGTGGACATGTTATGCAATCAGAAACTTCACCAGTCCTGGGAGCTGCTCTTCCATCACTCCGTGGTGAGTCCATTGGCCGCTCTCTGAGGGACAGACCCTCGCACTTGTGCCACCAGGGAAGTCGGGGCTTGGGGACCTGAGCAGGGCTACTGCTGTTGCTAGTGTGGGTGTTTGCTGCCTGTTATGAAATCTCATTTTTCAGCCAGGGGAGAGGAGCGTGGCAGCCCAGACAGCAGGGCTCGGAGCTCCTCTTGGTCCTGTGGGACTCATGTACTCTTTGAGGCTCTGCAAAAAAGCCACCCAAAGATGGGGTAGGAAAAAAAACCAAGTGTGGACAGAGTAGGGGAACAGAGAGCTGGGCTGGGGGCCTGATCCATAACAGCGGTGTGGACAGGCAGTGACTCAGGTGTCCCCGCCGGCACAGACAAGCAGCTCAGCTCCTGCCGGCTCTCGGCCACTTGAGCATCTGCCAGGAAGAGCTGCACATCAGCTCCTTCAACCTCCCACTCCCTGGGGTGCTTTCTTCTCATTCGAGTCAGAGCCATGGCCACGGGGCTGGAGTGCCTGGAGCAGTCTTGGTGCAGAAGCCCCACAGCAGTGCCCTCTGCCTGCCTTGCTGCTGGCTACCACCCGGCGTGGGTTTCTCTGGAGCGCTTTGGATGCTGCAGGGCAGAAGTGTGGCACAGCCCGGAGCTGAGCAGCAGAGATGCTGCAGGGTACAGGAGAGGCACAGGGGTCTGCTGGGTCTGGGGATGGGGGACAGGGACAGCGCTGGGACCTACCTGGGATGAGGCGGGGGAGGCGATGGTCAGACCTGCTGTCTCGCAGAGCCCTGCGGCTCTGCCGGCCGCTGCTCACGAGTCAAAAGGTCATCTCCACAATAGAGCTAATTCAGGCCAAGATAGTGACTTAACAAGCAGGGAGCAGCTAATCTCATTAAAGAGCCAATACAGAGAACAGCATTAATGGTATAAACTGAAGAAAGGAGCGAATGTACTAAAGCGCAGGCAGGCAGAGCCTGTCCCCCTGCCTGGCAGGGAGGGTGTGGGGCAGGAATCACAGCCGCTCTGCCCCCAGCAGCCCTGTCCTCTGCTGCAGCAACCAGCAGTCCCAGGGTGCTTCATGCCAGGCTTGGGGCATCCCACCAGGCTCTCTGATGCACTAAAGCCCCTTAATCCCTGCAGTGTGCCTGTCCTGGGGAGAATCCCTGAGCCAGCAGCAACCGTAGCCCTGGGCTACATGTCTCCCTTCCTGCCCCATTCAGCTGTTCACTGTGTGCGGAAAAACCTGCTGGGCCACAACCAACTGCATTCCCCAGGCCACAAAAGCAGGGTTAGGTCTGGCTGCTCTGTCTCCTCTGCCAACCTGGAGTTTATAGAAGTGTTTCCCTCTCCTCCTACTGGAAAAAAAAAAAAAAACAAAAACCAAACCCAAACAAAACCAAACCGCTCAGGTTTCATGCAACAGGTTGGGAGGCTTTATCTCATGCCTGAGGCTGCAGCGGTGGCTGGAGGCTGCAATGCTGTAGAGATATGTGTGGGGTAATGGCCAGCGGTTTGGCACTGGTGTGATAACTATTTCCATCTCTGCTTCACACTGCACCCAAGTATGGAGGGCTCCGGCTTGCAGCAGCTGAGATCAACCAGAACCCAGGCTCAGCCTCTCTTCTTTCTCCTTCCCAGGTGATTGTCTGCTTTGGTATTGCAGTGCTGCTCCATCAGTACGTTGGGTTTGCCCTCGTGGCTTTACTGGTGGAGATTAACTCCATCTTCCTCCACCTGCGGCAGATCCTGCTCATGGCCAACCTGGTGCACACCACCTGCTACCGCCTCAACAGCATCATCAACCTGGGCACCTACGTGGTGTTTCGCATCGCCACGCTGGCCTGGATGACCCGCTGGCTCTTTCTCAATCGGGAGAACGTGCCCCCGGCAACGTACGCTGTGGGCACGGTGGGTATGGCAATCATGACGCCCATGAACATCATCCTCTTCTACCGCCTGCTGCGTAGTGACTTCTTCAAGTCCAGGCGAGACGTGCAGCGGGAAAAGGAGCAATAGCCCCCTTCCCTGCAGCGTCCGGGGGATGAGCAGCCCTGAGCCTGTGGAGGAGCAAAGCGCAGTGGAGCATGAACGTGGCTGTTTCAGTAACTTGTGTGGAGGATCCACGGTAACAGAGCATCTGGGCTTTTCTTGTGGCTTCAGATTCTGGGCCCTTCACAGCAGAGAAGGTGCTCACAGACCAGGCACTGGGGCTCTGCTTCCCCCGCACCTTTGGATGACGTGGTTGGACGACCGGGAGCTGCTCAGAGACAGCTCTCGCAGCTCCCCGAGGCACCGCTGAGATGACAAGGGAGCAGAAGAGCACTGTTTCCCCACTGCTGTTCTGGACATCCAAACACCACAGTGTGTTTCTAACTCCTTCGGTGCTGCAGCCTGCAGCATCCCATCAGTCAGGGGACACTGTGCTCAGCTCTGCATTCTCTGTGGCACTTCCCATGGGAGCACGACCAGGCAAGAGAGGCTCCATGGCTTCACCCTCGAGGCCAGGGCCAGTAAAAGCCAAATCCTGCACTCATGAGTCCTCCCCGAGGAGATTGTCCCAGGTGGGTGATGGAGGGAGAGGCTCAGACCTGTCTGGGTGGGATGCTGCCTGCTGTGGGGTCCAGGCTGGGGGCAGAGCATGGGGCAGCGGGTGCTGCGGGGATGGGTGGCCAATTTCTCCTGACAACTGGAGCTTTTTCCATGTTGTTTTGTTCCCAGATATGTTAAGTGCCCATAAATGAGTGTGGGAGAGGATGAGCCCCTGGCCAGGATGATGCTATGTGATGGTCACTTCCCACAGATGTGGGGTTTTAAGGCATAGGCTTCTATTAGGATTTAGGTATCTGTTACGAATGGAAAGTTCTGCTGCAGAGCCCAGTGTAACGCTCTTACCCAGCAGCAAGAGCTCTTACTAACATGAGCTTTTAATAAATGGCTGCAAATGCAATGGCTTGAGGGGAAGGGACTCAGATCCCAGCCTGCTCCAGGGGTGTCACTGCTTAGCACAGTGCTTCTTATACTATGTCTCCCTGCTGCGGAGTAAAAATACACTGTACACTGGCACAGTCTACCTCTCTTGGGGTTTTTCCCACCCCTCTCC